CCCTCCCGCTCCGCTGCCGCCGGCGCCACCCCGCCGCCGGTTGCCGTCCCAGCCGCCCTCCGCCGCCGACATGGCCCGGCCGTTCACACCCCTCGCCGCCCGGCAGTTCCCTACACCGCGCCGGGCCGGGCACGGCAGTGCCAAAGGGCTCTCGCGGCCGCCAGCCAATCCACAGCCGCCGTTCATGGCCCCAGCCAATAGGACGCCGACTTCTTGGCGGGTGGGACAGAGGAGCGGAGACGTCACCATAGGAAGGGCCGGGACAGACCTAACAAGTCGCTGACCGACACTTTCGAACGGCCGCCCTCGCCGCCACTGCGGTATTAGACCGGAGCAATAGAGAGCCGATCCCAAGCGTGTATCGATTGTGCAGCTCAGGCTGGGCTGTAGTGGGGGGGCAGGGGTGTCCCCCTCTTACCCCGCCCTGTGCAGCCTTGCTGCAGGCTGAGCCCAGCAGAGGACCCATCTATGCAGTGCCTTGCGTTGCGGGGTGTAACACACTATCACAACTCCAGGCATAAAGTGTGAACTGGGAGATCGGCTCCCTTGGGCTCCAGCAGTTCCTGCCACCATGTCCCACCTCCTCTGCACTCCCACCTCCTTCCTTGCCTGCCTACTCAGACCCTCCTTGCTTTTGCAACACGCTCACCACTCAAAAAGCAGAGCATCTCTCTTCTCCACTTGCCTCAGTTGCCTCTATTAATCCACAGGCAGGCCAAGCTTCCAGGTTACTTCCAGCCTCATAAGGATTTCCATGCATGGAGGCCCCTGTGCCTGCATAAAGCCCAATTGCAACCTCTCTGCCAGGGAGAGATTCATTCACTTGACCATGATCGTTTAAAGAGTGGTGGGCGAAGGAACAGAACCATGACCAGTATCAGAGTAGCAAGGACCCCGTGCTACTTCCAGGAGTCTGTGGGCATGTCTACACATTCATTAAGGCACCCTAGTTACTGCGCATTAAGAATATCCAAGCACTAAATCAATGCGCGGTAACTTGTGCTACTGTGCAGTAGCACCGATGAAAACTTTTCCAGTGATACTAACTGTGCAGTAGCCTAATAACACTGCACAGTAGCAAGGCAGGCAAAAACTATGCTAATACAGTAGTAGGTTACTAAGCATAGTGTCACTCATAAACCATGCACCAACGCTACTGCTCAGTAGCATAAGGTACTGCCCATTGTTTGTCCAAGTACTAAATTTAATGCATATTAACTGTAGGGGCGTAGGTTGTAGCCGTGTTAGTCTAAGGACACAGGCGGACAAGGTTCTTTGGGTGAATCTGGTATCTTTTATTAGACCAACTTAAATCATTAGCTACAGTGCGTTAATGAATGTGTAGACCCACCCACCAGCTCCTGGAAGTAGCACAGGGTACCTTGAGAGTGAAAAATATGTCACTCTCAAGGGAATGGGGGGCTAAGTGTCTGGCCTGGCTGGATTTGGGCCGGGTCTCTCTCCTGTGCGATAATAGCTCATGTAGAGCCCATCAATTTGGAGCCTGGTTTATGGTTTTCATTGCAAAATCCTTGCCTTCCTGTTACATCTTCCCTCTGCTTCTTCAGGAACCCGCTGACTCCTGCATGCTAGGGCTGTAAGTCCATTGAGGAGCGCTAGGGCTGAGGACTTGGCACCGTGGCTGGGGTGCTGTCAGTTGGCAGCCAGGCACGGCCAAACCATGTGTTGGGCTGGGCAAGTCTGTGGTGAGAAATGTCCAGGAGTGTCCCCTGGTGGCACGGAGACATGGTCTGGGGTGGCCCAAGAAGGATTTGTAGCTGTAATCCCAGCCCAAAGTCCAGTTCCTTATTCGGGTCCATGTATGTAGCACAGTGTGTGGGAGGGTGCTGTCAGTTGACAGCCTGGCACGGGCAAACTGCGTTTTGGGCCGGGCAAGTCTCTCGTCAGAGATGTCCAGGAGTGTTCCCCGGTGGCACGGAGACATGGTCTGGGTTGGCCCAAGAAGGTTTTCCAGCTATAATCCCAGCCCAAACCCGGTTCCTTATTCAAGCCATTATTCTTAGTACAGTGGGCATGGGGACTGTCAGTTGGCAGCCTGGGACAGTCCCCCGGTGGCATCAACAAGAAGTTTGGGGGGGCCCCAAGAACTATTTTGCCCCATAATCCCATCCTAATCTGACCTTCATTTAGGGCTCTGTACTTGATGTAGGATATTATTTTACAAAATAATGAGTACACCTGCCTAGCTCATGAAATTTTCTCTTGAGGATGTGCAGTTCATTAATGGCAAGCTTTTATTGGGTCTTCGTTAGCTTTTGAAAAAGGAACCAGGAATAAGCAACCAACTTCAGCCTCATCCTGTAGTCCAACCCCCTGCTCCAAGCAGGACCAGCCCCAGCTACATCATCCCAGCCAGGGCTTTGTCCAGCCGGGTCTTAAACACCCCCAAGGATGGAGACTCCCCACCCCTCCAGTCTGTTCCAGTGCTTCACCCCCCTCCTAGTGAGAGTTTTTCCTACTACCTAACCCGGCTCAACTGAGCATCCCTAAGCAGTGCAGCGAAACCTCCGGAGCTATCTGTCAGGTGCTTCCCCCAGCCCCGCAGGGGTGCCTTCCGGGCAGCTGCTCGGAGCAGGGGCCCTGGGGCGCGGGGCCGGAACCTTCCTGCCGCCGCCGCGTGTTTCCGGCCGGCGCGGGAGGCGCTGCGTAGCGACGGACCAAGATGGCGGCGCCCAGCGCGGCCGTGGCCCCGGGCTTGGGGGGCGACGCGCAGCCGCCTGCCATGACCCCGCAGAAGATCCGCGAGCTGATCGACGGCGGCATCGCCCCCGAGGAGCCCGGCGCGGAGGGGTGACTGCTGAGGGGGGGCTCTCCTCCCGTCTCCTGGCAGAGCAGGGGGTCGGGCCGGGCTGTGCTGGGGGGAGTCTCAGGCTCCCGGGCCTTGTGGGTGCCCCCGCTCCGCGGGCAGGGGGTTCAAGCCTCCCTCAGAGGCGGGGGGAGGCGGGGTGTGGCTGTGGCCAAGGAAGGGTCCGACATAGCGTCATGTTTGGGATCAGGAAGGACATTTACCCCGGTCAGATTGGAGTAGACTGGAGCTGCGGGAGTCGAGGGGGGAAGGGGGGAGGGATAGGGTGGGTGAGGGGAGGGGTTG